CAGCTTCTGCTCATCCTCTTTGATTCTACATTGTGGTTGTAGGAGTCAAAAGTACAGCAGGGAAACAGCTGGGATGGTGTCTAAAGATATACAGTAGGTGCTCAACAGATGCCATGCTTTCTAGTTTATACCACATCTTGTATCAAGTGCAGGCTACGTCTCTGCTGGGGCAGATCCTTCTGATCATTTGTCTCAGCTTCAGAAGACTGTCTGCCCTGGGGAGGTGGGAGGGACTTCCTCCAGACTCAGCTCTATCTACAGCCCTCTCTCCTTAGCAGGCGCCTCTGTCCAGTGCCCGGCAGGAGGTCCCTATCCCCTTCACTCAGGCAGATGGCACTGCTCTCCCTGAGGTTCTCCAGTTGTTTGGCTAAAGTGCCTATGTTCAGTTTATGCATGGTTTTCTTGCTGTCCTTGCGGCTCATCAGGCAGGCCCTGGTCTTTCTCCCCATGCTCTCCTGCCTATGCCTCCTTTCCTGGACCTATGTCTCCCAGTGTGTGAGCTTCTCAGTACTCTTGCTGGAGTCCAGCCTCACACAGCTTGCCCTTGTATCTCAATCCAAACCTCTTCAGTCCCAAGGCTTTGTGGCTCCCATTCTGCCCAGAGGCTGGCACCAGGCTGGACCTCCCACCCCCATCCCTGCCATGGACAACATTCTTAGCGATACACTCACTGAAAGTTCACTTTGTCCACTTGGAATCGTGTCTCAAAGATTCCTGATGTCAGCACTCTGCATCTGAGCAGGTCCTGGGGCAAGAGGAGAGAAGTAAGGTATGCCTGGGCATTAAGTGTGGTGACTGAGAAATGATGTTTGTTATTAAAAAAATAAAAAGAGTAATTAAACGCAGGCAAATGCTCTGTTTTAGAGATCCCCACAGTGAATTAGTTTGGCTCACAAAAGCAGTACCTATGCTTTTGTGACTCTCAGGACTTTTTGGAAATGCTTTATGCCCACACCTGCTGTTATATGTCAGCCAAACCTCAGTGTGCAGTGTTCAGGGACAAAGTCTTGGCCTGTGCTCTGTGGCTGCACTTGGAAGTATCTCGGGAAAGGACTGGTAGGAAGCTTAACTTTCATTCACAAGTCAGGGCCCTGAGGGCTGGAAGCTACTTCACTTTAGTGGGTTTCCTGTCACGTCCTTGCATAGCCCTGGTCTCTGTAAGATCAAAGCTGATGTGGTGTCAAGGGCATGGAAGAGCTAGGCTGTTTCACAAAGCTGGCATCTCCATATCCTGGGCAGGTGTCACTATGCTATTTGTGAATCAGCCACTCTGGAAGATTAGCGATGACCGTGTTGTTTTATAACTGTATCATCACCCTTGTATAGGTCACTTTTGAGGGGGGGGGTCTCTTAATTCTAGAGAGCCTAGGTTACACTGTAGGATGTATTTTTATTAGCATACATTAACTACACAGTATGACATGTGCTTACATGTGTAGAATTTATTCTGAGCATGTTCCTCTATGATACTTTCTTTCCCTCTTACCAAATAGTCCCTTATAGCTTCATGGTGAACACGGGTGAAGGGTTATTTACAGGAGTAGAGAAAAATGTCTCTAAACCTCATGATCCTCACACTGAAGGACTGTTTTGAGTTCTTAGAGTCTGTCATAGGGACAAAGACCCCATAAAAGAAAGAAACTTTGATGTCTAGGGGACACAGAGGAGGGCCTCCAGGTGGTTCAAGGCTTAGGCCTCCAGGGTCTGCAAATGTCTGCCGTGAATTAGGAAGGCTAGTTTGAGAGAACACCCTCCTATCTTAGTTGTGGTCCACTAGCTCCTTTTTCTTCTTTCACTTTCCTTTCCCTTCCTTTCTTCTGTCTGGCTCAACCCAAGGGACACACTTGTGACAAACCTGGATATGTGCTATGGTACTTGGGGCTCAAGCTTGGGGTCCAAAGCAGAATGGACCCAGTGTGCAAAACCCGGAACTGAAGGCCTAGCTTTCTCAGTGACGGTCCTAGGAAGCCTGGGAATCACATATTCCTAGTTCACATGGGATCTTTCTTCCATACCAGCAAGGACTAGATTAGGCTCCACTGCACAAGATGGAGAATGAAGGCTCAGAATCTGGTGGCAGAACCAACATGAGGGGCAGCATGGCAAGGTGCAAACAGCAGTGATCATGAGTATGTTTTCCTCCAACCCCTGCATCTTCTAAGTTATCAAACTCTGTTGGCAGTCTATCTCAGAAGCTCTACTTTCATCATACCTGGTCTGTGGGCGTGTAGTCAACCAGACTGACGCTGTCAATCCTTTCCAGGAAGCTGCAACGGAAGCCAGTACAAGGTCAGACTTGTTCTCTGGTCATGTTATCCCAGGGCCAGGGCGACTTTAATGGGACATTTTCAAAGTGATGGTGAGGACAGGCCTGGGTGCTGATACATATCTGTTCCAAGGGGAAGTCAATGCCTGCATTCCATGTGACTTTGCTGGTCTGTCCTTTCACCTGTTTTCCTTTCTCCTCCCCCTTCCCCAGTCCTGGAAGGTTTGTTAGGTGGTGGCTTCTCTGAAACTAGAGGGGAAATGACTAGACATCTCCAAGGCCAAGCTGGTAGAATAAGGTGCTGCAATGTTACTACAAAACAGAAAGCAACCACGTTCCCTGTATGAACCCAAAACAGTATATGTGTGAAAGTCTGAGTGTGCATGAGTTTTGACTGTATGTTGCATTTATGCTTGTCTATGTTGCCTGAGAATATAAGTGTGTTGACGAGAGGATGTCGGTGTGAGCTGTGGTGTGAGGGTGTGGGAGCATGAGCATGAGTGTGTGCAAGTGTGAAGGAGTATCTGCAGAGTTCATCAGTACATGCCTAGCAGCAACTCTCAGTGTAAGTCAATTCAAGAGCAGGATGACCAGACCTGGGTAGGGCGTGGCAGGTGAATCAGCATTGCTGCCATTTTTTAAGCATCATTCCGGGTCTTAGGTAGGAAGCCAGCTCCCCTTCCTCTCAGAGGTCAGAGCCTGTGTCATACAGCACCCTTTGACTCCACGAGGCCTGGTTTTCCAGGTCCTAGGAGGGACCCAGAGTGCAGGTCTGTGTCTTGGGGACTCTGGAGTCCCTAACACTTAGTGCAGCCTTCAGGAAACATCCATGGAAGGAACACACATTCATTTCCCCTTCAACTGAGGGAGGCAATGAGCAGGGCCCTGACAAGGAGGGCTGGAAGGAGCTAAAGATGAAACACAAAGCTGAAGGCTAGAGTCAGAGTCAGCTGAGGAAGCAACCAATTTAAAGCAGGGGGCACACAGGGTGGAGGCAGGTGGGTGATGGTAATTATTGCAAGTAGAACGGGTGAGAAATGACTGACAGACAGTACATATGAGGTTCTCGAGGGATGTAATTCAACACTGCCTTCCAGAGGAAGTGGTGGGAGGGAAGTGGTAGGAACCTTCCTGAAGCCTGTTCTAGTTGTGAGACTGAGATGCTAAGGGAAGAGGCAAAGGAGGCAAAGTCACCTCTGTCTCCCCCACTCTCTTTCCAAGGTGGTTTTCAAAATTCTGTCCAGTTCTGACCCTTGGCCTATTGCCAAACAACCGGCAGAAGTACTTCATCAAGCTAGGGCTTGTAACGAATGGGACAGAGGTTTTTAGAAAGCTTTTCCAGAGTTGTAACATTCTCCTTTCCTGGGATGTGACACATGAAGCAGAAAACACCGGGGCATGTAAGATTGTGCCTTTGTAGTTCAGAATGCTATACAGAGCTGCAAAACACACAAAAACCTCCAACCGTAAAACAAACAAACAAACAAACAAACAAACAAAACCCAATAAACTTGTGTTGTTGGATACTAAGGGAGGATAGGCCTGGTGCTGTAGGTTTTTAATCTGTTACTAGGGAGGCTGTGGCAAAGGAATTCCAAGTTCATGGTTTGCCTGATCTACAAAGTGGGTTAAAGACCAGCTTGGAAAATTAGTGAGATTCTGTCTCAAATTAAAAATCAAGGGGAAAAAAGACTGGGGATACAGCTCAGGGGTAAATACGTAAGTGCTCACGAAGTCTGAGTCAAAATTCCAGCATATAAAACAAGCCTCGCCTCCCCTCCCCACCCAACCCATTGGCTTTGCTATTTTCCAGTATTTCCTGTTATAGCTGAAGGTATGTATGCTTGCATCAGTGTTTTAACTAGAATAACTCAAAAGTCTGTGGCTTTGAAGATGCTCAAGAAGTGGGGATAAGCTGGGACCGGGATAGTCATGGACAGGTCCTTAGATCTCTTTTGTAATGAGATTGCTGGACCTGAAGGAAAAGCACCAGCTACTTGTCATCGAGTCACATTTTAAATAACTTCTTTGTGGAAAGAAAAGAGAGCAAGCTGTAACTGTTAAGGAAAGTAAAAAATTTTCCTTAGAATCATACTCAACCTGTAAGACATAAAAGTACTGTTGAATAAAAATATCTACATGGCGAGAAAGTATTAGGAATCTGGCTTGAGTTTGCTGTACTGGCTTTACCGGTTTGTTGTCAACAGGGAACACTTGAGCACATCCAAGGCATGAATTGCCAGCAGCCTACTGTATGACCAGATTCTGCTCCCTATGAGCCTGACAATGTAATTGTAGAAAATGAACTTGGGGAAACTAGCTAGATAGCTTACTAGCCTAGGCAGTGGAAGGAAGAAAAGAGGAAAGAAAAGAAATAAGCCCATTCACCAGTTTGCTTAATGTCCCTTGCTTGTAAGTCTTACTGGTAGTTTTGAGCTATCTCTGACAGCAGATGTCCCCAGGAGAATGTTCTTATGTATGGCAGGGAAATCCTTTACTAATGATTACATATAGATTATGTTAATAAGGCCACCAGAGTAGACTGGTATTTATATGTGTTCCCCCTCCTCTGCTCCCCAAATCAAAGGCCGGAGGAAAAACAGTTTGTTTAGAATATTCTCCAATAACACACGGCTGGGCCCTGCACTAAAATGAACTAATATAGGAAAGCTAAGTTTGTCCATCAGTCTGTCTGTCCTTCCCTCCCATTAATTCTAAAACTCAGTTTAGAAAAAAATTTGTGTTCACAAAGAAACATTCAGATTGGTGTAAGAACACCAAGGCTCCCAGGAATATAGAAGAAAATACCATGCTACCCAGATAAGAATCCAGGACTGAGGACAACTTTTGACTACTTTTGAGTTCTTCTTTCTCAAATATCTTAATAGTCACTCCTCCCGCCCCCTTTGTGGTGCTGGGAATCTAGCCTCGGGTCTCATGGATGCATCATTCATTCTCTGTTCCTACGCTGAGATCCATATGCACATGTAGTAATATGCCATTTAAAAATATGCTTATCCAGCTTTCATGATTTAAAATTCAAAACTGCATCCATTCCAAAAGTGAGGAAATAATTCATGGGCCTGTAGTGCTTTTGAAAATAATCTTTATGAACCATATAAATGTATATTCATACAGTATGAAATGAACACATTTTAAGAAAGTTTAAGTATATTCTTTAATCTCATAAAATATAATTTGATGGAAATGCTTGCAGTATAAAATTTACCAAGGAGTCAATACTGAGCTGTTTTTTAAAGCTGTACTTAGCCAAGGTTTTCCAGGATAAAGGATTAAGACACATGCTGTATTCATCATACACCCAAGTTAGCATAATCGTGTATATAAGAAGTCACATTTTTGCTAAAGGACCTTTGAGAGAGGATACTGGACTGTTAGAGGTGTCCTGTAGGGCAGATTTAAGAAAAAAAATATGTGTATATATGTATGTGCTCTCTCACACACACACACACACACACACACACACAAACACAAAGCACACATACTTCTTAACTCTGAGAACCAGTAATCATCTGTGTAGGCTTAAACTTTTTTCATTAAACACTCATTCATCTGGAAAATCATATAATTCATATAATAATGGATTTTTCAAGGAGTTTTACAGAGGCTCTATCTTGTCTGAAACATTGGAATTCTCTTAATGGAAAAAACAGAACTCAGGAAAAGGGGAAATTAAATAACACGAACTTTGTAAGTATTTAACTTAGGTTAATATATGTGCCAAGCAAACACAAGTTCTCTGTGTTTTGAGGACAGAAGAAAGTGGGAGTTGCTTTGTTTTACACCAGAGGCTATAAAAGAAGGCAGCTTCAGCTGGTGGCTTCCAGCCTCTCTCTCTTTCCTTCTAATCCCAACTCATTCCCTTGTTCTAGACTTCTAGCTGGCTAAATGTGCATTTAAGTCTTGTATATCAAGAGCATTAAGTTATGCTTTTTGAGGTTTTAAAAGAGTTGTTGCTTTAAGACAAAATAATACATACAAATAGAACTTAAAAATGCTTTTCTAAATTTATTTATACTTTTGGTTGTTAAATAAAAACAAAATGTATAATTACACAGTCCCAGAGCTTAGCCGGACCAAATCAGCAGTTCTTTGGCGATGTTTGGCACATAACAGGACTGTCATGTTGATGAACATTATTTTGATCAGAAGTCTATTAAAGGTTGGCTTTCATTAGAAAACAACTAGAAATTATCTTAATTAGGAATTATCTTAAGCTTAAGTCTTAAGAACTCTTGGTAAATAGAATATAAACAAAAATTTATTTTTTCCTAATAAATGAAATTACTTGGCATTTTTTTCCGTTACACAAACTCCATTATTACACGAACTAACAGAATGTAAAGAGTATTTTGCAATAATTTCCTAAGATAACTTAAGTATATGAGAATAAATTAATAGTCAATTGCAGTCGTTCTTTGAAGGCAAAAACAGAGAAAACCAAATGATATACAGAAAGAATATTTCCCACCGAATAAGTTGAACAAAGTGTTTACATATTTGTTACTAAACTAAGTACCCATTCCTCCTCTTCTCATTTTTATGCGCCTCTTGGCAGTCTATGTACCATCAACCACACTAAAATAACTTCAATATGATAATTTTAAGCGAAAACGGAATACACGAGGGCTAGAGTGCTGCCAATTTTTTCTAGATTTATGTAGAGCAAATGAACCAGTTCTGTTAAAAGGCAGCTATAAAAATACACTTCATCATAAGCTATAATGAGCTTTAAAATCCAGTTAGAAGTGGAGAAAAAGTTGGAATTTCTTAGCGTTATCTGGAGAGGGCTGTAAGTTCTTAGAAGACTGTTCGGCATTGTGGCACAATTCCTGGACATCTCTCTAAAACAGAGAGCACGTCAAAAGGAAATCTCGGACTGGTTCGGCCGTCAGACTTGATCCCGAAGGCGGGCCAGTCTCTGAGACAGTTCATCTTGCTCAGCCGAAGCCACGCTCGTTCCCACGGAACCGGTCTGGC